AGGTTTTCTCATCACTATAAATAGTGAATTCCATCATTCAGTGACAGACATTCCTCCCCGCAGCACCACTAACCTCCACAACAAACCCTGTTAAATACAGTATGTACAAATGGCAATTAGAATAATATATACAGAAAGACATTGTTTTAAACCCTGGTATGTAATATAACATCTCATGACAGCAACAAACAAATCCTGTTGTGTTTCTATTACTGCAACTGTTTTGTGCCTTAGTGTTTCTCCTATAGTTCATTTAACAATGGTGGACCAGAACGGCAAACACCTATTAGATTTAGTGTAATGTACTGTAATACCAGCATATGGAGTTTATATCATCACAACGAAATGATGGCATTGGAGCAAATCAAATCCCTTCCTTCAGATAAACATACTGATAACTTAGCAGTTCCTGAAGCCAAATTTGTAGGTGTGGTCATTTAAATCAATCTTTCTTAAATGAAGGTAACCCTAGGGGTACTTTGGAGTACTGCAGGGCTTATGTGAGATGGAGTTTTTTAAAAGCTAATCGAAAAATATGAGCCATGCATAATTCCTTAAGTAATTGTACTACAATACGTTCAATAAAACTTGTAAATGTCTGCACTGAGATTTCTGCAGAAGACAGGTCTTGATTTGTCTAAAATCATATCGGGTGGTTCCAAAAAATGTTAAAAATTTTGCTCATCCCTTTTTGACCATGAAAAAGAAACAGCCTTGTATTTCAATTTTAATTTTTGTATATTAACATGAAAATCAAATAATTATATAACCAAAAGATGCAAAGAAATACAAATACTCTGGCCAAGAATGGTCCCTTCCATTAAGGTCAATACATACATCTTTACTATATATAAAGGAGACCATTGCGTTCAAAACTCTTACTGTAATACACTTTCCTGCCACTACTGGCAGCACTGAGCACACTGCTGTTAGCACTCCCTGAGAGAAAGGAAGAAATCCTGCTGCATTTATGATTGGACATGGTTTGTACTTAAACAGAAGAGACTTCTACTGTCTCTACTGGCTCAGAGTCATACATCCCCTGTCACATTTTATTATGAGTGACTAAAATGGTGTTGCAGGAGATAGCAATGCAGGACTGTGATACACACTTAAACTTAAAATGTCTAGTGCTAGTTTCAGATTAAAGTCAAGTAAATATTAGCCAATGTTTGCCTGGAAGGGGGGAAAATGGGTAATTTCTTTATCATCCATTTGACTGTAAAAGCTGATTGGAAATATCCTTTTACCAGAGGAAACAAAGGAGGTAGCCATTCAGACACAACACAGTACACCCAACACCCCCGGGAGGCTGACTGCTGTAAGGTGACACCAATCTCACTGCACAGAATGAAGAATGCACTCTGCTGTTCTCTGAAAGAACTCTTTGCTTGGGACTATGAGCCTCAATCAGTCAAACATTCAGTGCTGGATCTTATACAAAGACACAGAGCTCCAACACACTTCAAGCTGTTTCCCTGTGCATACAGTATATTCCCTTGGCAGTATACCAGCTGAACAAGCTCCTCCAATTCATTCTAATATAATTCATTCCACCTACCAGGCCCCCTTCATGTAAAATATTTAACTCTAAATATCATTCTCAAATGACTCGATTGCATGGCTGTGAAAAAAATGAGTCCATTGCACTACAGGTTGCAGTTTTTCATTGTCACAGGAAAGACTGTGGTGATGGTATGGTGGTAGCAGCAGCAGACTGATGTTTCACTTTGAGGTGCACTGACTGTTCTACCCAGTCTCACAGCAGCTAGCCAGATGCTCGCATTGGTTTTGCATGTATGCTCTGTTTTCCACATCCGCACCACATGACAGCCAGGCTTATCTGATCAAAGTCAGTCAACACAAAACATGAACATGAACATGCTGTAAGCATGTGACTAAGTATCAGTCACTTTGCTTTGGGAACCACAGACTCTTTAGAGCCTCCCTATACCGCTCAGATGTTCTATTCTGTTCTAGAGTTGGGAATATGATCTAGTATAGATAACAGAATGAAAGTGGATTGTTAATCGCTATTGTGTTCTAAGACTCATACAATGCAACCACTGTGTCCCTAGTTTGAGCGCATAATTAGTGACACTGCTGTCTGCCAGTGTCCAAATGTCATTTTTAAACAATACACGTAAAAGTAGTAACACTACTATATAACAATACCCCATTACAAATAAAAGAACAACAGTAACGTTCGAAAGTAATGTTCAATTATAAATTCTCTAGAATCTAGCCTTCACTTGAAACAGTCTTATCAGAGTCACAAACCACTTTACCACTTTATCCAATCGCTCCTTATCACTGTATTAGTTTATACTTATTTTATTTCAATTTATGCTGCTAAAATTGGCAGCTGTATTGATTGGTGTATTGTTGTATAATGTATATACCTACTTAACTTGCAAATTCTGTTGCATTTTGTCACATTTTTCTTCTTCTGAATCTTGAATCAAATTGCTCCTGGTTTTAATTTGCTAAACACTTCCTCCATGTGTGTCTGTTATCTGCATAAAATCAGTTTATTCCTCACAGCTATGTAAACATGGAACTCCACCCACTCCTAGCATTGTTGTGTGCTCACAGATCTAAAATGCAGTTGCATCCAGTGCAATTGTGAGGCTCACTAATGTGTTTTTGGACAACCGCAAACACTGTTGAGAAAAAAACGTCAGACAATGTCAGTAAGACACACAGAAATTCTGCCCTCCACACAAGCAAAGTCAGATTTTACCACAGTCCCAACTCATTCACATGAACATGCTAAAAGGTGTGTTGAGTGACCAGGGACAGGTGCCCAGATGTTTTGAACTGCACAAAGCAGTAAAACCAAAAAATGACAGGTGATATGTTTATGTGTGCCAATTTTATATGATCTGATTTTTAATTGAGAGTTGTATATGTATATTTTGTTGGTTGTTTTTAGATGCATTACTTATATTTGGATTTTGATTTTCAGTTGATCAATTTTATTTTTATTATTTTAAGTGGGTCCTGAGCATGTGCTACAGTGAGTATTAGTGTTAGAAATGTAGTGACAGTGTGTCTTTATGTTGTCTGACCTTTCTGACCTGTCACTATGCATTATCGAAACTGGTTTCAGTCTTGGTGTGACTAAAGTTATCTAATCTGATATAATATCAGTTAAAGGTCCAGTGTGTAACATTTAGAAGGATCTATTGGCAGAAATGTCACCTAAAAATAACAATAGTTTTTTTGTTACCTTAGAATGAGCCGTTTTTATCTCAGAGTCCACCATGTTGAGCTGCCATGTTTCTACAGTAGCCCAGAACAGACAACCCAAACACTGGCTCGAGATAGAGCCTTTTGCAGCCACCACGCTACATGCTTGGAAGGGGAGGGTGAGGCGAGTTGGTTGCCATCTGCAACTTCAAGATCTGGCCCCATGGGTCACCAAAACCCTACATTTAGTGGCCAGAGTACATTTTTGAGGCCAGTTGAGGAAACTGATGGCACACACCACAGTACATTACGTCAACATATTCTGGTCACTTACACTCCTGCCTCCATTCACCCCTACATTTCAGTGTTGATTTTTAGGCTTAGTAAACCCATACTTCAGTAGCCCCCAACATATTGGCAATGAGACGCAAAGGAATTTGTGGAACTGAAACGTTGCACTGGTGAAAGTTTGCAGTATGGATCAAAGTCGGTGGCTACCTACATGTAATATTTGGTGGCCACAGAGCAACTCTTTGTGGCCACGGTCCATTGGGCATGGTCATTATTAAACCCTGAGATGCCGCTAAATCCTACACACTGGTCCTTTAATCTGAAAAAGGAAGAGTTTAAAGACCCTGTCTCACAGAGGATCCTAAAATTCCCCAAATACCTGCTGACCCATTGTTCAGTCTAAGTCTAGTGACAAATCATCATCAACTGTGAGGAACTGTTGAGTTGAGAACATTATTGCACATTATCAAAATCAGGGAGTGCATTTTTAAGATGCAGCTGCTTTGAAATATATTTTGGCCCCACACTGATATGATTTTCACTTTTAACCCCTGACATCAAGACAAAGAAATGTATCTCTGCATATGTCAGACAGATGGATACATTCCATCTACTTTAGAAGATAGTGGAAGGAAGGAATGTGCCCAAATGCTGACATTAACCAGGCTCCTGTGGGCTGGTGAGTATCAAGCAGCTCATGACAGGAGCACAGCAATCAGATCATTCTCCCTTGTATTATCAACAGATATTTAGGAAGCTGTTCAGGTTAGTCGTTTGAGGCGAGGCTCAATACTGATTCTGTATCCAAGAGCGAAATAAGAGCGAAATAGAAGGTTTATCCTAATTATCTGACTGTTTTTTACTGATATACAGACCATATCAGTAAAGGAAAATTAGTGCTGTATACATACTCTAACACCAGTTTTTGTCTGTCATGTATTACCATTGCTTCAAAGTCACAGATCTAAGCATGTGTTTTCATGAAAAATATTTAACAATCGTTGAAAAACACAGAAGGTGGTTTAACAGCATTTAGAATCATCATAAAGTCTCTTCTAGCCATGAATGAAAAAAAAATCCATTCACTGAACAATAAGAATAATTTTTAAACCCATTTTTCAAGTGGATGCCAGTGGAAAGAAATTACATATCTCAGATTTCATTTTGTACATTACTGTATATACAATATAGATGCGGCATTTTGTACTAAAACAGAAAACCTAACACTAATTGAAAGGAACAGTATGTATGTATGTCAGTAATGACTGACAATAAATGTTTTGTGTATATATGACATTTCCAGCTACCATCTTTTTTCCCCGGCTCAACCTGCCACGTGTCGAAGTATCTTGAGCAAGATACTGAACCCATGACTTTGCCATCGCTGTGTGAAAGGGTGATGGCATCTAGTGTTAAAAGCGTCTTGGAGTGGATCGGGAAGGACTAGAAAGGCGCTATACAAGTTACAGGTCCATTTACCATTTATCTGTTTTGGAAAAAAACATATAGATTGTATCAATTCACAAAAACACTGTACTGGTTTTTATACTTAAACCTCCAACCGCTAGATAGCAGTGTTGTAAGCTGAGGGCTTTGATTTTGGATGTTACATGGACTGTGATAAATACAAATGCCGATCTCAATAATGCCTTGCTTACCAGATTCTTGCCAATACAGCCCTAATGGTAACACATGAGAGGGAAAACTGCGGCTGTATGTACCTTTACATTGAGAACTTTCAAGCATGTGCACCAAGATCAACGGGGAAAATTGGAAAACTTAAAAGTATTAATATGAACAGGAAATAAAAGTCTTCCCCGTCTCTGCTGTAACATATCATGTCCCATTTGTGATAAACAGCAGCAGAAAGCCTTGCAAATACTTTAAGAGTGCTTCTCCTTATAAAAAACAAAGTGGTCCTTTAACTTTCCATTGAGACAAAACATACAATTCTCCTTCAGCTTGTTACCGCAGCCATAAAAGTCCACAAGAGTTACACTAACTAAAAGCAAATTACAGCTTTTAAGAAAACAAGCAAATGACCAAAAAGTGTAAGTGCAAAGGAGGACCTTTTGTTTTCTTATGTGTAAACCACAGTCGGCTCAGTTTTCAGTTTCATTAGTCCGTCTGTTCAAAGACCAAAGGTACTGTATTTAGGAGTGACACTTACCGCAGACTATCTCAACCTTGCTTTTTCTTGCCCTTGCATCAAAGTCTGATTGCTCCTGATTAAACGGCTTCCGTCCCAGTCTCTCTCCCCCTCTTCCACTGTCCTCCCGCCAGCCTCTCCCCCCACCAGCCTATCTCCTGTCCTGGACAAGTCTTGTCTTAAAAAAGAGCCACCAGCTGCTACCATCAGGCCCTGGCTCTGTTGCCCTGGCTGGGCTTGGACTGCCGGAGCCCGTGGGAACTGTTTAGCATCCAGCACATCTTTGTACTGAATCTCAGGCCTGATCATCCTCAGACAGGCTGTCCTGGTGGCGTTGTCCAGCCCTGGCTGGAGCTCATAGCCAAGAATCTTGATTAATCCACTCTGGAACGGGCGGATGTTTTTGTCTCGAATCCGGTGTGCCTCCACAGGCTTCCCACCATCCCTAAGACAAACCCGGGCCAGATCTTCCCGCCGTATCCTGAGAAGAGCTACCTCCTGCTCCATCTGGGCATGACCAAACCTGTCAATTTCCTCCCAGAAGGTCCGGTTGAAGGCTTTGTATAAATACCAGTCTAAGGCATTCCACTGACGCAGCTTCTCCCGCTGTTCCTCTGTTAGTGCTAGATTGGGCAGTGTCTTTGCTTGAGAACGTCCCCCTCTACCACCAACACCTGCTGCTGCCGCAGCTTTGCCCACCCAGCTACCACTTATCCCACCAATGCCACTGGGCTTCTGCTGCCGAGCGTTGAGGCTGAAGGAGACGACAGCATCCAGCGGCCAGCAGAGGGCGTGTCTCAGCAGGATCATGGACTGGTCAAAGTACTCAGACACTAAAATCAGCTTGAAGGCCTGGCGGATCATGGCCTGGCCATGTTGGGCCAGTGCCACTGAGAAATTAGCATTGTGGTCCATGCCAAAGTCAAACCAAAGCAGATTGCGAGCATAGTGGTTGTTGCGGAGACGTGGGTCGTAGTATTTCTGAGGGTCATCAGCAAAGTCACCCAAGCCTTTGGTTTTCCTAAAGGCAGGTGCTACCTCTTTGTAATAAGCAAAGGAGGACTCAGCCAGAGCGACTGGATCCCTGATGATAGAGAAGTAGAATGTGTCAGCAGGCATCACCTTCTCCACCTATTAAACAGAGGAGGAAAACAAATAAATGTGCCCTTAATGTGATGAATATCATCATATTGATGGTACATATATATGATTCCAATGAATATATATTACACACATACTTGATAGCTATGTAAAGAGGGATTCTTATACATTGTATAGCTATACAAAATGTGATTATTTTGTTTTCTCCTGGCATTTTTAGATGCAAAGCCTGCAAAACTGTAGGTGAAACTCACTCACTCAAGGTTCACGTGCAGTCACGAGACTAAAGAAACAACATTAAGAATGAGCAGGAAGATGGAAAGATGAAAAGCCGTATCTGTGCTACTATATTTGATTACTCATTGTAATCAATCACCAAGATCAACATGGTGTGTGAAATCTGGAATATATGCCACAAATTAGTGACCTTCTGGACCTTTTCAATTGTACCAACCAAATGTGAAATATGATTATCAATTCTTGAGTCAGTGGACAAAAAACACTGAAAAGATGGACCCAATGTACAAAAATGGATCAAAGTCCTGCCCATATGCCCCGGCTAACTCAATCATGAGCATGGCTCAACTGTCATGACGTGAAACCCCCTTTTT